TAAACCCCCAAACTCCTAAACACCTAAACCCCTAAACCCCTAAACCCCTAAGACCTAAACCGCTGGGCTTTGGAGGAGACGGACCCTGCCATGGGGACCTGCCTGCTCCTTGGTTCTTTGTACTTTCCTTAGGGTTTAGGGTTTCGGGTTTAGGGTTTAAGGCTTAGGGTTTAGGGTTTAGGGTTTGGTTGAGGGTTGAGATTTATCTATACTGAACTTGGGACGCTTGCAGAAATTTTTATAATGCAAGCTGTTTCTTCAGGAATAGAGTGTAACACAAAATTACGAATCATTTCTAAGGACCACTAAGGTATACACCCCCCGAAGGAGAAGCCTGTAAACAGTTTTCGAGGCCCCGGCCTTATAAGCGCCCTCCTTGCGGCAAAGAGGGCTCTGGGGCTAGACGGCTTTAGGGTTCAAGGGCTTGGCTTCAGGGTCTAAAGACCCTCCAGCGTTCAGGCCCTTTTCTGCTGGATCCGCAAGCACCTCCCTAATGCGCAGCTGCTTGTCCACACGAACGAAGCTGCACTCTGAGAGGGTCATACCAGTCGATATCTCCACCACGCGCCCCTCACCTTGCAAGAAGGCAGCAGTAGCATCCAGAATCCTTTGCGAAACCTTCAAGCGCTCCGCCGTCTCCAAGGGCCCATGGAAATCATAGCATGACGCAGACTCAAGCACAGCTTGCAAGATTTGGTCCTGAAATGTGGTGATACCGATCACCCGTGACCACAGATCATAGGCAACAAGGTCTTCGTTTGGTTGCGGTGCGACGACCCGATCCATAAGGGGCACCTCTGCATCGTATTCAATCGGGATGACTCGCTTCCCTGCGAGATTCAATCGGCTGTCCTTCTGCTCTGATGTGGCTGCCACTGCCACCAATCCTGCACTGTGCTTCAAACCCGTTTTTTTTGTGTTGCTTCGCGCAGCTTCATGGTTTCATGAGAAGAAAGACAGACTACCAAACATCGACTCATGAGCCTAGAATCGTGTATCACCACGAACAAGCAGGCTATGCAGCATCACCCACTGCTTCTCACTCCAGGGGAACAGGGCCATGGGTGTCAAAGGCCAATGCTCCGGTAAGAGTCGCGTGCATGGCCGTGCCCAGAAGGCACCGAACACCGGTGTCGCCGTGATCACCTAGGGCTTCTAAGGTCCGAAAAAAGGGGCCTTAATAATTAGAATAGGGTTTTGGAGCCCCTTGTACTATATTTATAACAAGGAAACCCCCAAAATAGTATAGGTAATTATTTAGGCTTTTGTATTCATGTCCAAGTTATTGGGGCTTGGGGTTTACTTCTTGTGATTTAAGGTGTCGGTTTGCAGGGTCTCCGACTGCAGAAATCGAGGAAACCTGATTCCTATTCTTAGCTGCTGAGTTCATAAGCCAAAACAAGTGTACACTTTCAGTTTTATGGGGGATTATATTATCCCAAAAAGTTTAAAGTGCAGCCATTCAGCTACTAAGTATTGCTGTTCTTACTACTGGTCCTACTTTCAGAACCCCCGGGCTTCTGTTTTAGTAGTGCTCGTGTCTAGGGTTTAGGGCTTAGGCTGAGCATCCGCAGAAGGGTCGGGACTTCAACCTACATTTTCAGGTGTATGTTGCGGAGGGCTTTGAAAAAGAATCACCTTTGGACGACGTCGGATAGTGCCGCAAAAGAGGGGGTGGAAGATTACTCGCCCCATGAACCCCAAAGCCTAAAACAACCCTGAACTCCCCTTCACCCCCAAAACCCCCCAAACTAACCCCCTAAGCGGCTAAACCCCTCCTCACCCCCCAACCCCGAAACCCATAAACTCTTGTCTAAACCCCAAACCCCAATCTCCAAAACCCTAAACCCTGAACTCCTAAACCCTAGACCCTAAACCCTTAACCCCTTGATTAAACCCCAAACAGTCCTATAACCCCAAACACTAAAACCCCAAACGGTCGTACAACCTCCAAACCCCGGCTGTCTGAGTCACTATCGGCAGCCAGAACCTCCACGAAGCGAGCACAGCTGTGATGGAACTCGTCGCGGAAGACACTGCGAAGGACAAGCCATAAACATAGCCTGGGGTGATACTGCTGATGATTTAAACCCAGCATTACCTTAAGGATCCTAAACTATGGGAATTATGTTCCTTATGATGGGTAATGCAGGATTTATATCATTAACCGTACTTTTCAGTCCGGAGTTTGGAGTTCTTAAGGGTTTAGGGGTTGTGCACTTTGAGGGTAACCCGTTAGTATTGATGGAAAAGGTACGTCGATCGGAGCGTAAGGGAAATTAAAACGCGTCCCAAAACTCCCCTAGTAGCTGGCGGCGCAGGGGAGGAAGAAGGCGCCGATGGCACCCGACTGCAAGGCACCGATTGCCAGGTGGAGAAAGATCCTCGATGGCTCCGTAGGAAACTGAACATGCACTGTTTCTCAGACCAGCTTGTTGCAATGAAGAGTTCGCGAACATAACTGCAACAAGGAGTTCTGAAGACAGCACTAAGCAGCATGCCACCGCCCACGAACAGCCGGTAGCTGGTTTCGGCATTGGGAGACCCTGCCGTGAGCGCGGGAACCACCAAGCACAACGGTGCTAGAAAGCACTCGAAGGCCAGGGTCGCGAAAGCGCAAGAGTTCAGCCCCAAGCGCTTCCTGGGCTGGGTCTGCTTTAGGGTTTGGGGTTTAGGGTTTAGGGGTTTAGGGTTTAGGGTTTAGGGTTTAGGGTTTAGGGGGTTTAGGGGGTTTAGGGGGTTTAGGGTTTAGGGTTTAGGGTCATCCACCCAACTTAATGGCGCTGTGCGCAAGCCTACAGGCTTGTGTGCATTAAACAACCTAGCGACTTTTGTCATGGTGAATTATGAGCCTCATCATCATCCCGATGCTGGTGATGAGGATGAGGATGCGGATGAGGATGGTGATGGTGCTGGTGCTGCTGCCGGTGCTGGTGCTGGCGCTGGTGGTGCTGGTAATGCTGGTGCTGCTGGTGCTGCTGGTGATGGTGGTGATGGTGGTGATGGTGGTGATGGTGGCGATGGTGGTGATGGTGGTGATGGTGGTTATGGTGGTGATGGTGGGGCTTAGGGTTTAGGGTTTAGAGCATAGGGTTTAGGTTTTGGGGTGAAACATTACCAAAGAACGAAGGCAAGTTGGTAAGAACAGGCAGGAAAATACTTTTGAAACAGCGACAGCCACCACCAAACAATCGCTAAACCCTAAACCCTAAACCCCTAAACCCCTAAACTTATAAGCTCAAGGAAAGGCGCCTTTGAGCACAACATTTCGGGTACACACTTCGGGGAAAGGCGCATGTAAACCCTCAGACCGAAACCCTAAGCCCTAAACCCTAAACCCTAACCCCTAAAACCCTAAACCCTAAACCCTAAAACCCTAAGCCCCAAACCCTAAACCCTGAAACCCGAAGCCCTAAAACCCTAAAACCCTAAGCCCAAACCCCAAACCCTAAAGATCCTTTAAAAGGAACCGTAATATCCCCTATAAATCCTTTAAAGGAACCCTACATCCAGCATGGGCAGTTATAAGTGGAGTTATAAGTCTCCTAATGCAGGTTAGAACTCTAGCTACCCGACTTATAACCCTACTTATAACCACCCATGAACCTCCAAGTACATCCAGCCCGAGGCTCAGTTTGCTCGGAGAGCTCGCCGAGGCCTCCGCCAAGAGCGGGGTGCTCAAGACGAGGCTGCGGGTGAGGACTCCAAGCCTTGGGAACTGCTTTTTGAGGGTTTAGGGTTTAAGGTTTAGGGTTCAGGGTTTCGGGTTTAGGGCTTAGGGTTTAGGGTTTTAGGGTTTAGGGTTTAGGCTTTTGAGGCCGAAACGGGGGGTTTTCCGAAAATAGGGGGCCCTTTGTTTAGTACCCTTAATAGCAGGATCCTTATGAAAGGATCCCAAAATAAGGTACCCTCATTTTCGGAAAGCCCCACATGGTTACCAACGCTATTTTTGTGGGGATTCCTTGTTATAAGTATGGAATAATGGGCCCCAACACCTTGTTTTGGTGGGGTTCCTTATCACCTGTATGAGTCTGGTATAGCGTGGGCCCTAAAACCCTGTTCGACGTGTTGAAGTCTCCTTTCTTACCCGGCTGTGGGGTTTTGGGTTTCCCGTTTTGGGTTGGTGGGTTTAGTTTAGGAATTAGGGTTCAGGGTAGAGGCTCTAAGGTTTAGGGTTTAGGGTTTGGGCTGTAGGGCTTAGGGTTCTTTTTTTTAAAGTGCAATGGAACGGACTTTACGACCATCCAGCCTCTGCGAGCCTACACTGGTGAAACAGACCTCAAACCACTCAGACAATGATCACTCAACTCTTCAACTCGGCATCAACCTCAGACAGTACGACCCACTGGCAAGTTTGACAGCGACGATCATCCATGCAACGACATAGGAGATGTAGAAGATGTAGAAGTCAACGATGTGGACGGAGAGAACGTCGACGGGGATATTGGCGCCGAAGAGGACATCAGGGGCTGTTGTAGGGGAGAGGACGTGGTAGTCAAAGTCCAGGCCGAGGTAGTGGAGGTAGTGGAGGTAGTGGACAGCGAAGAAGTCACAGCCATGGGATCGACACCAGAGGACTCATCGCCAATCGCAGCACCCACAGTCTCAGCACGTACAGCATCTGTATGAGGATCAAGTGGATCCAGCAAATCCACACCAGACTCCACAGAAGCACCACATCCGAAGGCTCACCCACATCTGACACCACTGGGCCCACCCCTGTATCTGCCACAGGGTCTCGCTCCACAGTCTCCACCGTGTCCACATTCACCCCAGGTCGAACTGCAGCCACCAATACAGGACCATCGTTCCCAACTGTATGATCCACCTCACCAGCTTCTGGAAGCTCGGGGTCCACAGCATCAATTCCCGGAATAACAGACGTCGTATGGGTGTCCACATCCCCTGCAAGTGTGTTGTCAGTGGCAGCGTCCCCCCTAGCAGTGGCAGCATCCTCAATGAAGCTCCCAGATCCTCCACCACACTCTCTGGGACTTCAGTAAGACCCGTTCCCCTGGGAGCACCAACATCCCCCGCCAGAATATCCCATACATGAGTCTCGCGAAAGGTTGGTTGTTCACCCCGGAGCCCACGTCGTAGACGAATGTCGTCCCAAGTGCCCCTGAATGTCCAGGAAGGGCTATGGGGATTTGGCGTAGCAGGCGAAGGATAGGGAGCACTGGAAGGACCACGAAGTGGAGCACCTCTGCCTCTACGGAGACGCCATGGTGGCATGGGTCGAGCCCCTGGAGCGGCTCTCACATCAACATGGCCCTGTTGAACCGACGGTCCTGCTACCACCCCGGTGCTGCTAAGGAGGTGGTACATCTCCGCTACCACCAAAGCTGCCACATGCTGTGCCAGGAGCTGTTCACCATCGCTGAGTTCAAGTGGTGTGTCTCCCACCCCATGGCCTGTGTCGGGCTCCTCTTCAGCGGGCAGTGCATCCCCTCCCTCCTCTTGAAGCTCCATCTCATCCGCCTCATCCACTGGAACTTCCAAGTACTCCGGGATTTCTTCCTCCTGGTCTTCATGGTCCATAGGTTCCGGCGTCGTAGAAGTCGTAGAGGTCATGGTGGCCAAAGGAACCTGCGGTCTCCCCCAAGTACTGAAAGACATGGACCACATATAGGCAAAGGTCGTCGAGATGAGATAGTGGAAAAAGCAAGGATCTCCTCCAACACCTCATCCACCGTCACCAGTTCATCCATTGGAGTCACCGGAACATTAGTGAACACTGGATTGGGGGGTATGATAGGTGTCCTTGGCTGCCCGTTTTCGTCGAAGGGCGTCTCCATCCCATAGTGCGTCGGAACTGTCGGGATTAAATGTAAAGGTGCAGGAGGGACACGACTTCTGAACACCCTCGGGGACCCGGGGATCTAGAGCGCGTAGTGACCGAAGAGCTCAGCGGCCGAGGTGCGTCCGGTGTCTGGCTCGGCACGTCATCTGTAGTTGGGGCATGTAGGACAGGCGCACGAAACTTCGGACGAGGGGCCACCCTGGAAGACGTCGCCCCAGACCCCATGTGTCCCAGGTCCCACATTTAAAGAATCCAGTGTTTGGTTCAGGCTGGGGGGCCGACATGCGGCGGAAGTCAGCGTGAGTCCCCAACGGTCGCCTTGCAACCGGCACTCCAAGTCCCACACTGGGGCCATCAGGTAACGGTGTCCGAAGGTGCTCACGTGCCGCAATTTCTGCTAGATGACGTTGCTGGTCTTCACGAGCCTGAAGGTCATCCCGCTGCTGCTGCGAAAGGGCTTCTTGTCGAGCAATGACTGCTTCAACCACCTCGCGAAAATACCCCCGCCAGCGGGTGGCCCATCCCCTGTAGTGAGCGTACATAGTCGAGGTCGTGGGCAGTGTAGTCCTCGGGTCCGTCGGGTCTCGCCGAACATTGTGCAGCGCGAGGTCTGCGAAGCGAATCAAGAGCTGCCCAACTGTTCGAATTTCATCCGTTGCGACATGGGTGGCCCATCTCACCGTAGAGCTGTGTCCGTAGCGTTCCGCCCCCAGTGTCTTTTCTACCACCCTGTGTGCTAAACGATGAACCGTGCCGTACGCCCAGTCTACACCTGCCGGACGATTGCATACTCGTGGAGCATCGTGAAATCAGCAGGTCCTTGATGGAGCTCCATCAACAAATGGCCAGACTGGTTCACTCCACCCAGGAGTTGCCCATCCACCAAGCCTTGCAAACTCCTTTCTGTCATGTCAGCGACAGTGGCATCAGCACGAAAGTCATCCTCACCACCATCAGGTCCTCCAGCAGCGGCAGGGGTAGTAGAAGACGTGGTCATCACTGCTCCACCTGGCTGACCCCAATCATCCTGACGGTAGAAGTCACCCGCCATGGAGGTGGAGGTTGTGGTGTTCTCCCAAGTCTCCCATGTCCAATGGACACCAAACACGAATTCACCCAAAGGGCTGATCGCGGTGGTGATGTCATGTAGGAGGACAAAGGAAGTCACCCCGATCATCTGTGAGTTTCTCTGGTCCGCCACCACGAGCGTAGTAGGGATGCTCGAAATCAAGACGGAAGGGGTCAACGCCATAACGAGAGTGTTAGTCCAGGTAGAGGTCGTCCATGTAGAAGTCATCTCCATAGAGGTCGTAGAGGTCGTCCACGTAGAAGTCATCTCAGTAGAGGTCGTACTGGTCGATAGAGTCGTTGATGTCGTTAAGGTCATTGAAGAGAAAGGCGATGAGGTCGTAAAAGTCGTCAAAGTCATGGATATCCCCGGCCACGTGCAGGCAGAGGTCATCGAAACATCAGGCCACATGGGCAATATGGTCATCCAAGTAGGAGATGTGGTCATAGAAGGAGTCAAAGAAGCAGGAAGCCAGGTAGGGTCAGGAGGAGCACCCTCCAAACCAAAGGCGGCACATTGTAGCGTCCACAAAGCCGTCAATGTCGCCCACGGGGAGCACGAAGACATGTCAGCGCGGGGCGAAGAGGCGGCTACAGCAAACGTTCGAGCAAAAGGCACTGCCACAGTCGTCAACCCAACTCAGCATGGCAAGCTTCACAAGGACGGGGTCAAAGAAGGGCAAGGCACTATTCATGTACAAGGGCAAGCTGACGCCCCCTGCTCCATGGTTGATCTGTCTGTCGTATCCACTGTTCCTTAAGGGCACTCCATACTTCTCGATCCTGACCTAGCGACATCCACTCACGACCAAGGGCAATCGCAAAGTCTCTTTCAAGATTGGCCGGGAAGAATTTTGCAGGGTGTCTCATCCCACCAGCACTTGGTGAGAGCGCCTGTTGTTGTCTCCACCAGTCAACGTTTCTCCACCCAAGAAACCGAGCGGGCAACCCTGGCTTCGCTTGCACCCCCCTGCCGTCATCCTCTGTTTGTCGGCACCAGTGTCCTGCTATCCCAAACTGGAGTTCCCTGACTCTTGTGCTCCATCTTTCACACCCATTGTTGTGCATCCATGTCCTGACAAATCGGAGGGACCTTTGATTAAAATCAACCCAGGTCTCATTGTGATGTCTTTGTACACGAAATATGTCCCGAAGGATGTGAAGTTGTAAGCTGTTAAGCGAGCAAAGGTCCTGGGGAGACCAGTACACTGCCCCCGCGACCCACGAGATCTTCCCCTCAACCAACATGCGGAGAGCAAACAGTTTGTTACTCCAAGAGGCTCGCCCCCTCAGCAGATCGCGACGCTCCCAGAATGAGGCTCTAAGTCGTGTGATGAGCTCCTTGGCCTGACGTGTTTGGTCACCATCAAATGTAAAGTGTAGCCCAAGTACTCGGATGGGTTCATCAGGGGGTTGAACCGGTAGGCGACTCCCCTGAAACAGAACATGTCGAGCGCCAACGTAATCACTGGTACACGTGATGGCTGTTTTGCTCGCAGCAAGCTGTAAGCCAAGTTCTTGCAAACAGGCATCAATGAGCTCCAAGCGCTTGGTGAGTCGAGAAACATTGGTATCCCAGAGAAACAAATCGTCCTGGTACATGAGCAGTTCCACATTTAATTCGGGGATGGCTTCCCCAAGATCTCGCCACCCTGGTGCACTCATCATGTTCTCAAGGGCGTCCTGGAGAATGAGGGCGAAAAGCTCCGCGGACTCTGGCGAGCATTGACGTATGCCAGTGGTACACCAGATATCGATCTGTTCGCCCCCCGGTACCCGTCCCGTGAGGAGGTTGGACTTGAGCTGCAACAGTAAAAAGTTCGCATTCCACCGCACAGTGCCGAAGTTTGTCAAACAGGTACTTGGCCAAGGCATGTCTAGCCAACGAGTCAAACGCCCCCTTAAAGGAAAAGAACTCCTGGCACTGCAACCTCATGGTCGTCACTCAAGCCTTCGTCCATATCCCGGGTCACATAGCAGCGCCTCGCTGGCTGAACTCCTCCGGTTCAGGCGTCAAATGTAGACGCTGGCTCTCCACGGCCATGCCGTAGAGATCGGCGATGTTGTGCTTGATCTGGAGGATTGTTGAACTGGTTCGCACCGTCAAGCTGAATCGCTCCTGCCCAGAGCAGCGGAAATATTTCCAGCTGTGGCTCAACCTGGGCTTTCGTGCACTGCCTGGGAGTTCACCGAAAGCTCGTAATCCTCCTGCTCCGCGATTGGGCCCACTTCTCGTGCAAAGTGCTGCAGTCCACCGGCCATTTCTGCTTGAAGCCGGCGTTTCATCTCCCTCTCCAAGCGTTCCTGCCGGGCCTTTACGCGAGCAGTTTCCATGAGCACGAAGGTGTCTGCTCGCACCTCGTGGCCGATCTCGGTCCTTGTGGTCCGGTTTGCCCTTTGCTGCTCCTCCATGATGCGAAAAGTCCCGGCCGACTGACTTCCAGTCCCACCAGTCGTGGAGGTTGTTTTGGACCTGATGAAACCTGTCTTCAACAGTCCGCCGCTCCCAGAAGAAGACCGTCTTCCGCAGATGCTGCACGAACCAGTTGATAGATGCACAGACAATCGGGATCGCCGCCAGGCGCCGGGTCTCTGTCCGGGAGTGGATGTCTGTCTTGAAAACAGTCATGTGTTCCCGTCTCACAAGGAGGCACAACTTGAGCCAAAATGGCTACGGGTTTAGGGTTTAGGCTTTAGGCTTTAGGGTCTAGAGTTTTGGGTTTAAGGTTCGGGGTTGGGGAGGCTTTAGGCTTAGGGTGTTGGGTACAGGGTTTGCGGCTTGGGGAGGGTCTGGGTTTTGGGCTTGGGGATGGGGAGGGTTTCGGTTTAGGGTTTGGGGTCTAGGGCTTAGGGTTGGGGAGGCTTTAGCCGTCTGGGGTTGGGAGGGTTTAGGCTAGAGAAGGGTTTAATGTTGTTCAGGCTTTAGGGGTCAAGACATGCCGGAAATCACATGAAGGATAAGGCAACCCTTACACCCTAAACCCTAAACCCCAAAGCCGGGCGCCCCGTAAAAGGAACCTCAAAGAGCGGGGTTTGGGGTTTAGGGTTTAGGCTGCATCCAAGCTACACAGGGCCTCCCCCCTTCGGCGTCTTCCGTGAGAAGGTCTCCTTGGATTCCCAGTAGCCTAGGCTTAGAAAAAGACCCGGGCAACCCTGATTTCCGAACCCTGTTTCCGAAGCCCTAAACCTAAAACCCCTAAACCCCTAAACCCCTAAGCCCTAGACCCTAAAGCCTGAACCCTAAACCCACAAGAAGACTAGAAAATGTGCGAAGCTGTGAGACCCAGTCTCCAGGATCGCATTCAACGTGTCTCCGAAGGACCACTCTCGGAATCCCTTCTTTCGGGACTAGAGTTTAGGGTGTAGGGTCATCTATGGGGTGTAGGGGCTTTAGGGTCCTTAACGTTTACGGTTTAGGGTTTGGGGTTTAGGGTTCAGGGTTTAGGGGTGTAGGATTTATGCTTGGAGGTTCATAGGTAGTTATAAGTGGGGATATAGGTTCATAGGTACTTATAAGTGGGGATATAACCCGAATTTAAGGCATAACTAGAGTTATCCTACATATAACCCTACTTATACCTACGCATGAACCTCCAAACGGGGCTGAGGATCTATGGGATGTAGAGTTCGGAATGTATTGGGTTTAGGATTTTGGGTTTAGGGCTTTCGGGATTTAGGGTGTAGGGCGTTTGGCTTGAGGTCTAGGGTTTTGCGGGTCTGCGCTTCAGATTTTGGCAAGTAAGGGTCCAAGGTTTACAGTCTAGGGCTTAGGGGATGGGTTGAGTTTTCGGATGTTTTGGGGTTTAAGGTCTATGGTTTAGGGTTTTTGGGGGGTTCAACCTGCATCAGCCGCGGCATGCAGTGATCGTTCACGGACACACCGCCGGCCAACACCACCTTCGATACTCCGCAGCTAAAGATGTACCAGATGCAGAAGCCCAATGCCAGAGCGTGAGCCACCTCGTCCACTCCGGCAGGAAACACGAAAGCATTGATCCATCCACACAGAGCCAAAACCCAGCAGTTGTACAGCATCAGATAGTCTCGGTGGCTACTGGTTCTCGATGAGTCACCTAGGTGGAAGATGGTAACTGCCAAAGCAACCAGAGACCGAGAGAGTGCCACCACCACTGGCAAGATAAGAAGCCGCTTCTCCACGACAAACGCTTGTAAAAACATGTAGGGAACGATGCTGTACGCTGCCGGCCGATAGATGCTTGAACGAAGTAGCAGTAAAAACCAGCTTTTTGGCATCCAAGACGGTCGCAATGCTGTGTTGGATAGCTTCTCACCCAGCCGAAGAAAGTCCACGCCACTGCCAACAAACACCGCGATCCAAAGGAGCAACAGAGTTGCAGCCTGCGCAAGGACTCCCATATCCCTTGTGGCTGGAAGTCCTATGCTACGGATGAACCACAAGCCTAAAGCGCGATATCATGGAACATTCAGGTCCGCATAGCGCAGGACTCAAACCAGAGCCTCGATGATGAGCAAGACCTAAACCCTGAACCCTAAACTCTCAACCTCCATATTCCAGCCATTTTTGCCAAAGATCCCAAACCTCAAATTCCCCCTGCTGGCGCTCAGACCCCACGAAGGTCTTAGGAGACCTAGAACCAATGCAGGTTTCATGTATACTGATACGCCCGCAAGACAACCTACACACCCTCATCTCAGTCATAGCGCACATACCCCGTGCACCCGGGACCACCACTCCTATCCTATCCTGAACATCATCCTAAACATCAAGCCCGCAAAGCCATCCCCATCATCTTACACCCTGCACAGTGAACTGCAGATGCCAACCTAAGCCCTACCCCCCAAAAAAAATCAAATTTCTGGCACAGGCCAGAAGTCTGACGTAGCTTGGAGTCCAACGCCGAGGGTTTAAGGTTTGACGTAAGGAGTAGGGTTCTGGGTTTAAGCTTTACAGTCTAAGGCCTAGCAGTGTAGGGTTTAGAGTTTATGTTCCAGCTTAATCTTTGGTTCTCGTCTAGAGTTTAGAGAGTAAGGGGTCAGGGCTCTGGGCTTTACACTCTAGGTGCAGGGTTTCGAACCCGAAACCCAAAACCCGAATCCCTGAACCCGCCCGCCACCGCACTCTCTTGTCTTTTCTGTTGTCTTTTGGGTTTAGGTTTAGGGTTTTCCGCCACCACACCCTCTTGTCTTTTCTCTTGTCTTTTGGGTTTAGGTTTCAGTGTTTAGGGCTTCCCGCCACTGCACTCTCTTGTCTTTTGGGGTGGGCGGGCGATGGTTGAGCGATCAGCGTCTGATAAGGAAGCCCGGCGGGCGAGCCTGGCCTCCCCCCCACCCCTCCAGGCACGCTTCACGTAGTGGCCTGAATAATTAAAAGAGGGCTTTGGGGTAGAGTATACTAGAATTCGAACAAGGAGCCACCAAAATTGTATAATATGATAAGGAGGCCCCTAAATAGCACACAATAATTACAATACGGCGCCCCCCAAAAATAGTGTAGGTAATTCTTTACAAGACCCCTAAACCCCAAACCTAAACCCCAAACCCGAAATAAAGGGCCGAGTGCTCTATGGCGCGGTTGAAGTGTCGGGCCTTGTAGCCCAGGCCCGGGCAAGCGTATTGGGTAGTGTTCAGGGTGTGAATTTAGGTTTTAGGGTTCAGGGTTTAGGGGAGTTGGGATTTAGGGTTTAGGGTTTAGGGGAGTTTTGGGTTTAGGGTTTAGGGGAGTTTGCGGTTTTAGAGTCATTTTGGAGGTCGAGGGGCTTAAGCGCCGTCCACCCACGGAGGTGGGCGGCCTAAGCCTTGAGTTAAGGGTTGAGGGTTTTGGGTGTGGGCTTAGGGCTTAGAGGAGTTGAAATCTAGAGTACATCGAAGCCTGAATGATAGACAGGATCAGCGTGTTTGCGGGCTTCTATACTCGAATATCTTTGGGGAAACGTAAGCAATACTAAAGTTCCAGGTGCTCAGACCCATTGAATGAAAACCCCCTTTTCTGCGTTGCAGCTCCAGCCTGCAATGCATAGAACGTAGCAGCTGGTGACATGGACATGGCGCCCAGAGCAGGAAGACTGCCCTGATCTATGGCTCTCTGAACCTACCCGGAGCCCTGAACCCCTAGACTCAAAACCCTACACCCCTGAAGCCCTACAGCCCTAAAACAACCCTAAACCCTAAACCCTAAAACCCTAAACCCTAAAACCCTAAACCCTAAAACCCTCAAAAAAAAAAAAACTCAAAACCCCCAAAACTCCCCCAAGACGGAGACCCAAGAGTCTCAGATTTGTCGCTCTGGGGCCGAGGCATTCAAAGTTGCAATCGGCTCGGCTAAGGCTTACGCGGTTTCTTCACAGTGGTGCTCAGGGTTTTGGGGATTGAAGGCTTTAATCTAGGGTTTAGAATTTAGGGTTTTGGGGATTGAAGGCTTTAATCTAGGGTTTAGGGTTTAGGGTTTTGGGATTGAAGGCTTTAATCTAGGGTTTAGGGTTTAGGGTTTAGGGTTTTGGGATTGAAGGTGTTAATCTAGGACATGTTCAGGTGGGTAGTTACCGTTATAGGAGCCTTATAGAAGGTCTATATACCTTATAGAAGCCTTATAGAAGCCCTATATACCCTAAACTCCCCACCTGTAGCTTCCTTTAAGTTAAGGGTTTAAGGTCCATGGCAGCTTCGGTTTGGAGTGCTTGGTGGGACTTTCCGAAAATTAGGGGTACCTTATTTTTGGGGTCCTTAATTTAGGGTACTATATTAGGGTACATTGGGGTCCCCTATTTCGGAACCCCCCTGGTTGTTCAAGGCGATATACTACCGGCCTCAAACCCCTTCAAGGATCAAGAGCACCTGGGACCGGTTTAGGGTTTAGGGTTTAGGGACCCGCAAGGTTCTCGCTGGAGGGTGTTGGGGATAAGGGCTTCGGAATGGAATGACGTGTTTAGTTGTACACTCCTAAGGTTTTGTAGTTAGGGTTTGGACTAAACGACTGAACTAGGCCCTCAAGCCGTATAGACATGACGATCAGCAGCTACAAAAAGCTAAAGGCGGTATAACTCATTACATACATACACATATATATATATACACATACATACATGCATACATGCATACATGCATGCAAACATACATGCAAACATACATGCATACATACATACTTACTTACTTAATTGCTTACATACTCGCATACAGCACTTGAGGTCAAGAGCTCTGCTTGCCAACCCAGGTAACACGCAACTTGAATGAGGACAAACCGATATTGCTATTTACATATACTACACATATACATAGACAGACACATGTTCATACACGTATACACACGTAGACATGCATGCATAGGTCCATGTCTATCTATCTATCTATCTATCTGTCTGTCTATCGATCGATCTATCGATCTGTCGATCTATCGATCTATCGATCTGTCCGTCTATCTATCTGTCTATCGATCGATCTATCGATCTGTCGGTCTATCGATCTATCGATCCATCTGTCTATCCATCTATCTATCTAACTACCTATCTATCCATCTATCTATGTCTGCATACATTTATCTATATACAGACCTACATCTGAGTCTACACATGCACATGCACATGCACATTTGCAAATACATGCCGGCGTACCAATACGCATACACATGCATTATACATGTACACACCCAAGAGTTCATGTATGCATGTGTAAATATAAATATAAATATGTGTATATATATATACAAAAGCGCGTGTGTATGTACAGGTATGAATACATGCATATACAGACAACACTGACATACTTACCTACCTACCTACCTGCCTGCCTACCTACCTACGTACATGCATACATATTTACAGTGACCATATGTATATATATATATAGATAGATAGATAGATAGATAGATAGATAGATAGATAGATAGATAGATATGCGTGTGTGTGTGTATGCACAAATGTGTATACATATATGCACATGTGTATGTATGTATATATATATAAGCATACACACACACATACCTACTTATTCAATTGCTTACATACCTACCTACCTACCTACCTACCTACCTACCTACCTACCTACATTGCATATGTATGCGTATGTATACATGCTTGCATCAGCCTAAACCCTAAACCCTAAACCCTGAACCCTAAACCCTAAACCCTAAGCCCTAAACCCCAAGATACATCAGATAGGCTTGGCCGGCCTCTCGAAGCGGGATGTGTGTCTGGCCTTCAAGATAGGAAG